GCTGGGCCGCGTCGGCGTCCTCGGCCCCGGCCTCCGCGGCCCGGCTGCTGGAGGCGCACTGCACCAGCGGGGTCTGGTAGGAGGTGGCCCTCCTTTCCGGCTTGTCGGGGCTGGAGCCGTCGCTGGGCCGCTGGCCGTTGTACAGCAGGTACCGGCCGCGCGGGTCCAGCTCCATGCGGAAGAGCTCGTACTCCGTGTGGGGCAGGCGGATGCCCAGCGCCACGCAGCCGTTGGTGGGGGTCACGTCCTGCTCGACCCCCACCTGCCAGGACCCCTCGGCGCCGCACTCGTTGCCGTTGAAGACGTTGAGGAGGGAGGTGGTGGCCAGGTCCATGGGCTTCACCCTCATGTGGTTCACTGGCAGGGGGAAGAGGAAGAGGAAGAGGAAGACGCTTGAGGACCCGGAGCTTCAGTAAGACCTTCTGACCGAAAAACAACGGGGAACATCGGTCGCAACACGATCATAATTAACTATATCCTCACACTTATACAGCGCTTTCCTGGACACTCCCCTCCACCCTCACCAGTGTGCAGCCCCACCTGGGTGATGCACCAGTCCGCCCCCCACACACCAGCTCTCAGTGGGGAGGAGAGCAGAGGGATGAAGCCAGTTCAGGGATGGGGATTATTAGGAGGCCATGATGGGTAAAGATGAGGGGGAAATTTGGTCAGGATGCCGGGGTTACACCCCTACTCTTTTTGAGAAGCGCCCTGGGATTTTTAATCAGACACCATCAATCAATCAATCAATTTTAATCCCGCCACCCATTGGGTAAAGGCCTCGTAGCGCCGGAGTTACCTTTGAAGACGAACTCGGTCCCTCCCATGACGCGGGCGGAGGGGACGCCCCGGCTGTAGCGGCCCCGGGCGTAGATGCTGAAGGTGGGGTGCTTGCACACGGGGTCGGAGTAGTGGAAGTAGTGGCCCTCCCAGGTGTGGTTGTTGTCGTGGAAGGCGAAGTGGCGCGTGAGGAAGAGCACCTCGGGGCGCACCTCGCAGCGCTGGCTCACCCACTGGCCGTGCAGCCCGACGCTCAGGTCGGCCCGGGGGGGCAGGATGGGCGGGTGGTGCTCGTCGGACCGGTAGATGATCCGGCAGGGGATGCACCCTTGGTCGTG